TGTGTCTAGGTGTGAACCTCTTTGCATTTATCCTATCTGGAATTTGTTGAGCTCCTTGGTTGTGAAGAAAAAAATTTTTTTCATCAAATTTGGGTCACTTCAGGCTATTATTTCTTCCAATTCTTTTTCTTCCCCTTTCTCGTCTCTATTTCTTCAGTCCTCTATTTGGAATTCCCATTACATATCTGTTGGCATCCTTGTCATTGTCTATAGGTTTCTGACAGTCTGTTTATTTTTCCTTTTTTCTCTCAGTACTTCTATTGGCATTTTTATTGATCCTTTTTCAAGTTTACTGATACTTTTTAATGTTTTCTCAAAACTGCTCTTGATCACCTCTACTGAATTTTTCACTGTGCTTTGCAGCTCCAGAATTTTCATTTGGTTCTTTTTTTTATAATTTCTATCTCTTCATTGAGAATCTCTATTTATTGACTCATTTTTATTATACTTTCCTTTAATTCTTCACATATGGTTTTTTAAAGAACTTTGAACATACTTTAGTAGCTATTTTGAAGACTTTGTCTGAAAATATAACATAGACAGACACTCAGAGACATCTTCCACTGCCCTTTTTTTCCCCTTAGCATGGGTCACACATTCTTGTTTCTTTGCATGTCTTATAATTTTTGTTGAAATTTGGACATTTTAGATACTATATTATAGCAACTCTGGATTTCTGATTTTCCCCTAAAAGTTATTGTTGTTTTTGTTTATTTATTTCTCTGTTTAGTAACTTCCCTTGGATAAAATTGTGAAACACTTATTTCCCATGATGTGTAACTGCTGCTATGTCTACTAAAGATTTTTTTACAGTTTCTTTAAATTCTAGCTTCCTAGGTTTTTTCTCCTATGTTTATGTAACTTAGTGGTCAATTAACAACAACAATGATTAGATACAGTTTGTGCTCATAAACATCCAGCCAGAAAGGCTTCCATCTTCTACAGATGGATAGGTTTGTACAGAAAAATGCATTAAAAGTTCATACATTTTTGTATCTCCCCCAGCATTTGCTTTCCAATAGGATTGTGTGTGTGTGTGTGTGTGTGAGTGTGTCTTCTATGTGTATGCACACAGCCTTATAGTTGGCTAGAAATTTGTGGATTTCTTTAGCACTCTTTGTTCTCTGCTGGCTATACGGGAAACCTCAGGCAAAACTATGCTTGCCCAAACTATAACTGTAATCTCATAGTTAAGAATTCGCCTGATTCTTAGAGAAGATTGTCACTTCCACTAAAAACACCTCTGGACATGGTTGTTGCCTGCTATTTCAAATCAGGTGACCACTGTCAGCCATGGCAATTCAGTTATTGATTCTTATAGCCTGGTCTACTTTGATAGAATCTCAAATAAATAAATAAATAAACAGCTTGGGAGGTCTGGGGGTTAACATGGGAGTAGCCTTAGGCAAGAATACCACAGAATCTCATTATTCTTCTTCAAAGCTCAGTAGTTTAAAAGCACAAAAACTTTTCAGGTTAACATAGGCTTTGGTTGATTTTCATAGTGCTAAAAATCTTATTTTTATCAAAGTCTAGCTATATAGTTGCTTTTGGGAGGGAAGATTTGCTGACCACTTCACTCTGCTATATCCTAAATTTCCACCCCTCAGGGTGATTTTATACTGATTTCCAAAACAGATAAGAACAATTAAACAAAGCACAAATTCATTTTCCCTATGAGCATAGTTGCAAAATTTCTAAATAAAATATTAATATCCAAATCCAAGAGTGTGTTAAAAATACATTCTGATTGAACATGATTTACCCTAAGAAAACAAAAATGGTTCAGCATAAGAAATATCTGTCAAAAAATGTATTATATAAATAGAATAAAAGAGAAAAATCAGAGGATTAATTCAATAGTTATAGAACCTAAAGAGAAGTAATTTCACAATGGTCAACACAAATTTAACAAACTAAGGATAGAAAAGAGCTTTCTAAACATGTTAAAGTTTATAGACAAAACATTTACAGTAAACAGTGTACTTAATGGAGAAATTTTCGATGCATTCCTTTTACAATGGGAGAGGGAAGAAGGTGGTGTTCATTATCATCACCTACCATTTAACCATTGAACTTTAGATATTTTTCAATTAAATAAGGAAAGAAAAAGAAAAAGACTTATTAATATTGGAAGGAAAGTTATAAAACTGCTATTATATGCAGATGATGTGATCAACTAAGTAGAAAACAACAATAGAATCAGTAGACCAACTATTAGAATTAAAAGAAGAGGTCAGCAAAGTTGTCCAATATAAGATTAACTTGCAGAAATCAATAGAATTTATCTGTACCAACAACAACCAAATAGAAATATCCTAAAAACACCATTGAAAATAGCAATAACAAAAGTATTAACAAAAATTATAAAAATCTCTGTGGAGAATATTTTTTGAACTTCTAAAAAGCACATAAAAATTATGTGCATTAATAATAAGAAACTCTATGCTCTTGAACAAGTTAATATTTTAAAAAGTGAATTCTACCTAAATTAATTTACAAATTCTTGGTATCCTCAATCCAGTTGGGTTCCAAAATTCAAGTTAGATATTTATAAACTCACTAAACTTTTTATTTCTAACATATGTATAGAAAAATATATACCTATGCACGGCTAATTCAACTTTGAAATATATTAACTAGGAAGAAGGACTTGCCTTACTATTTATTAAAGTAATAAACCAATCTAAACAGAGTAGAAAACTCCGATGACACACATACACATTGATACACATGAGAACTTAATATCCTTCAAGGTCAGCAACTTAAGTCAATGAGAAACATTGAATGAATGAATCAATCAGAAAATAAAAGTCTCTGTATGGATCAAAGATGTTAAAGGCCAGAGTTTATGAAGGATTGGACTGGAGTGGTAGAAACGGAAATGGTGAAGAGGGCTCAAATTTGGGATATATTTTAGAGGCAGTACCACCAAGACTAAGGAGCCCTGGTAGCACAATGGTTAAACATTCAGCTGCTAATCAAAAGGTTGACAGTTCAAACCCACCCAATGGCTCCACGGGAAAAAGACCTGGTGATCTGCTTTTGTAAAGATTGCAGCCTCGAAAACCCTATGGAACAGTTCTGCTCTGTCACATGGGGTCTCTCTGACTTGAAATTGACTGGACCAAACCTAAAAACATAACACAACCACCATCAAGATTTCTTAATGGAGAGAATGTTAGAAAGAGTAACATACTAATGAAGATGAAACTGATAATACAAGAGAGAAAAGATATCTGTAGGAGGTAATTTTTTGAACAGGTAGCTCCTTATCCTGAGAGTGAGTTGCAGGCTTGATTTCTCATAGGTGCCTAAGCAGAGGAAGTGGATAGTTGTTCTCTTTTGTAAGGGAGAGAACAATAACTGCACAAATCCACTAAAACAAAGAAAATTAAAAATCTAGATAGAAATCACTTGCAATGCACACACCAAATTTTAACTGCCTTAATTTATAATAAGTAGTTTCCTTGGTAACAAACAATGTAGCATCTATGAACTTCATGTAGAGATGAGAATTATAAATCAAGCATATAACATCAACAGGGAGGTATGGTGTCTTAAAATTCTGTGAACTTATTCTTAAAAAATCTTGTTTTGAGTAAAAATCAGTAAATTCATGTCTATATATGGAAACATTTGACTAGCTATATTAAAAATTGCGGTTTGTCAGGATTGGTTTGTATGTCTGTGTGTTATGTTGGTTGGTTGGATTGTATTTTATATTTTTAAAAACTATTGATACAGAAGTTTTAATGAAGGACACAAAGGTGGAGGAGAAGAAGAGATCTCACAGAGTGAGCCTTTCTCCAAATGTGACAAATAGGGGCAGCTTTGAAAGTTACCAGTAAAGCTTTCTAGCTCCCAGAAATTTTATAGAACACAGAAGCATCTCCTGGTTGCTAGGGATCAAGGATTTTCAGTTATTAACCAATTAAATGGTGAGTGTGTTTATAAGATGTATTGTTTTAAATGTGAGACTGGTTGAGCTCATGCAAAGAATTTGGTTGACTAGGTTTATTGCATAGGTTGAAGTTCCCAGGCATTCCAGAGTAATACTGCCAAGGAAGATGGTAGCTTGGTTAGACTGGGAATTCTCTAAGCAATTTGGGTGTGCCCTGCCCTGATTGATCATTCTAATTATGTGGCAGGGTCAGGAGAGGAAGAAGAGAAAGAATATATTGGGGAAGAAGCCACATAGGAAACCTGTAGTGATGGAAGTGGTAGTCAGGACACTTGGTTATAGCCCGAGCTTTGTCAATAACATTTTGTGAAACATTGTAAGACAAATATTTCCTCCAATCAGGGTCATTTTCTTATTTATAAGGTGAAATGGTTGTGTGGTGGACTAAATCTGTGTGGTTTTATTCTTTCCTTTTTAAAAATGTTTTTATATTTTGCCACAGAACACTTCTCTCAACTATTATTCTGAATCCCAACCCGCAAAATAGATATAACAAGCAACTCTATTTCAAGTAGGAAGTGAAAGAGGAGAAAAGAAGAGAACGAGGCAGGAGCCTGCTAACATATGTTAAACACTATGACCAACTTTTTAAACTTAGTTTCTCTTTTGGCCCACATAACAAGTCTTCCATTTGAGACCCAGAGGTAGGTAAATTGCCCAAGTGACACAGACAGTAAATAAGGACTCTAAGATTTGAACTCAGTTTTAGAGTCCCAGGAAAGTTCTTGCTGGAAGTAGAACAGGACAGCAGGAATGAGAAACAGCAATGGAAGGCAGGCATAAAACTAGCTTACTCCACCTCTCAGTGTCTGTCAGGGCCCAAATCTTTTTGGAGAGTTGGGTCATGGGTTGGGCAAACGGACAAGCTGTACCAGATATTTAGCCCACCCCTGGACTAAGCCATGTTCCCTCCCTTCTAAGCAGTCGGCTTTGCAACAGGTATGACCTAGTAATTAGGAAATAAACAGATAGTCATAAATAGAATCAAGCATAATCTCTAAAACAAACACAACAGGTTGATTCCAAATTGTCTCACCTTTGCTGGGTCAGTGGCTCTGGTGGCTCTTGCCAAATGCCTGGCCCTTTTCTGGGATTTTGCTTCTTTTTCCCTTAAAGAGGATAAAGAATAACATAGCTTAGACCACTTGCCCAATTTTTATAACAACTTACATTGTAAACTTAATTTTGCCCTGTTTAAGAGCCATAGGCTGCTGTCCTCAGCCCAGTCTGGCATGTCACAATTAGAAGGAGGTCCAAAACTGGGCACAGTACTGAAAGTCTCTCTGCAGTGCTGAATGAGATCTCAAACATGGGTCTATGGAAGGAGAGTTTTGTCAAGGCAAGAATCTCTACCTTCACCTTCATAACAAACTACCTCCCTTGTATACTTCTAACAGCCTAGTGGTCAAAAACTCTAAAAGACACCTGATTCATTTTTGAGCTGCTCTGTTTCAAAGACCATATTCACACTGAACCAGAATCTGCCTGCCTGTATTTATTCCAACCTCCAGAGACCCACAGAACAAGTCAGCATCCTCTTCCAAACCTGCTCCTTCAGCAATTTGAGGATCGTTTTAATGCATCGCACAGTCTTCCCCTTTCAGATTAAAAAAACTTAGTTAATTACACCATAAATTTTCATAGGTAATAAAATAATAAAAATAACAATTGAGTGAATGACCTTCAAAGTGATGTCTTGTGTGTCTTAAGGTATTTTTTTTATTTTAAATTACATTTAAATGTAATGTTTTTCCAGTAAATGTATTCATAGCAAGAGTCTCCTGTAGAAAGCAACATCCAAAGAAACAAGAAGGAAACTTTATAGTAAATAATAAAACTGCTGGTTTACAGTCAGCTTTCAAGAGAATAAGAAATGATGGTTCACACATTCTTGGGCATCTCTCACCCTCAGTCTTGCCTTGCCTTCTTTTACTTTCCCACAGTCTTTTCACTAGAAGCAGTGCATGTGATTAGAGCTTCATTATCCCAATATGATTGAATATGTCAAATTAAATCCCCTGACACATACTACCTGACATTTAAAAATCTAATTATCACATAATTATCTTAAATGGGTAAGCTTAGAATTGGCTTGGCACCAGTGTTGAAGTTTTGTCCTTGGACAGAAATTGAGGATGACTTCCCTGTTCAAACATCAACTAGGACACTCTAGAGATTTTTATTGATAATTCAAGCTCATTTCCTCCTTTGGGGTGTCACTGAAGAGAAGGAAATCAAGTTAAGAAGCTTTGGACAGATGTGGTTAAAAGAGCCTTCCCAGGATCTTAATTTTTTATGAGCTGCAGAGAGTTACAAGTTTCCAGCTACCCTTTAGTCCAGCTCATCCTAGCATTTATCCCAGATGTCAAAACCACTGGTGGCTTACAGAGACAGCGTGTCTGCTTAAATCCCTCTGCTGGTTTTCCGGTACAAGGAGTATCTGGCGTCATTTCCAAGGGGCTCTTAGCCTTTAGGGTACAACAGAGTCAGGATGTAACAGGCCCAGGGAAGCTGACTTTCTCCCTTAAGTTCTTTTTTCCCACAGCCAGGAAGCTCAAAGTGGAACTGCATTCTCAAAAGACTAGAATATTGCACAAAGCACTAATACCGGACCCTCTGGAATGCTTTTGGAATACCATTTGAGTGATCGTTCAAATCTTTCCAGGTGGGTGGCAATTATCCAACTTTATCTGATGGAATGTGTCAGAGTGAACTGCTAAGCACTGTTTTTTAACCTTATAGATTTGAAAAAATACATTCGAAAGGAAAAGTATATACATATTCAGTAGTCAGAAAACAACTGGTAACTTAAATTCTTGAAAGGAAGAGGGTCTTTACTCACAATATCACTTTGCACCTGGCACATTTTTGGATGAGCATTATTCCATCAGGGCTTTGAAAAAGACCTTTATTCTGGAGACAAAATAATTTTCCAGTCTTCATCAATGCTCGGAATTCATCACATGTTTCCTGAGAAGATAAAGAAAGTTTTGTTTCCTTAAATCTCATCGAAGCAAGACTTTACCTTCTAAGAAGAATTTCCTTGAGTAGTATTACTTAATGACGCAACCCCCCTTAATGTGGAAGACCTTCACTCAGTTGATACAAATGTACAAAAAAAAATAATGACTCTGGCTTTTCTATTGGAGATTGCCTATATACCTGCTGAACATTCATCTAAAACAATTAGTGGAATGGAAAGTACAAGGGACTTGGAGTCCTTGTACTTGTATCCCAGAGTTCTCATTGATAAGCCCTAGAGCCTTAGCAAGTTAACCTCCAAAGGCTCAGTTACCCTATCTGTAGCAATAGGACATATACATATATACATTTTACAGGTTTTACAAAGATTAAATATTATAAGTATGTAAATCCCTCAGAGAGTGCCTGCTACATAGTATTCATTAAGCAGATTCTCCTTTTTCCTTCTTCGTTATTATTGTTGTGTTCATTGCTATTGTCATTACTATTATTATTATTGAAATATGCCAAAATGACAATAGATAGAAAAATTTAAGTTCTATAGAAAATGATTCTTTTATTTCTCAAAGCAAAGACCTCTGAGAGTTGGTAAAGCACCCTCTGGCCTCAGGGCCTCTGCTGCTGCTGGTACTTCTGCCTGGTCTGCTCTAAGTTGCAAGTATCTGCACAGCTCACTCCCTCATCACCTCCAGATTGTTGTTCTCATGCCATCTTGTTAGTGAGAACTTCCCTGACTATCCCAATGAGAACTAATACCATCTCCATACCCAGCAATTCCTATCCTCCATCCTGCGGTGTTTTCCTCCTAGCATTAATCATTATTTAATGTAGTAGATACGTCACTAATATACTTATTAACTTGTCTGTTTTCTCCCACTAGAATATAAGTCCCATGAAAGTAAAGATTTTTCTCTATATTGTCTACAAGAACATCCCCAACTTTTCAAAGAGTGTCTGACACATAATAGATATTCAATAAAAATCTATTGAATGAAATATATACATTGACCTGAAGCTACAGACAATCTCATTTTGCACTACAATTACCAGAAGATTTATTCAGCTTCCTATGTCTGCCCTGGCTTGTTCAGATGTTAAGCTGAATGATAGTAATTCACCAGTTGATTTTATTTTTTATTTGTTTATGGAGTATAAAATACTCCTTTAGGATGGTGGATTTCCTCTTGCAGATATCCATCGTCATTCATTCATTGGTTTTTCTGTGTATGTGATTCATGTCTTGATTCATAAAGACCTGTTTCTGTGTTTTTAACAAAAGCTATTAGTACCTATCAGTGTAATATGTGTGCATTATTAACTGTAGGTGTTGGCCACAAACCATTTTTCTTTAGGGACCTTGGAATGGAATCAATGAACAGAAGAAGCAGGACTAACCTGATTTTCATCCTTGCTGGCAGCATCTGGGACAAAAATACAGAAACCAAAGTTAAGGGAATGTAAAATATTTAATAAATAAAACAAAAAAATTCACTTGGTGCTGTGTCTTGATTGCTTTAACGTCAATATGTTGTAAAACTACAAATTCTATTTGAACTCATTAACATTTAACATGGCAAATAAAATGAGGGCACTGCTCCAAGAGATCAGTGTATTCACTTCCAAAGGTCCAGTAACTCATAAAGATCCAATGATTTGGAAAATAATATTCATCTTCTTTCTGATCCCTCACAGTATATAATTTCTAAAAGGTCCTTTCAGAGTAAACTATGACAGATCTTCTTTTAAAATTATAACATAATGTACATATCTATTAACTAAAATTTTTACAATACATAATATCAATTATAATATACTTGGAAATTATAATATAGCATGAAGATTGTATAATATATATGTGTGTGTGTACACATAAAATTCCATTTTCTGGGCTCTAGTGACTCTGCTGCCTCTTTACAGCTACAAAAATGAGAAATCTGGCAAAAATCAACATTACTTAAAATCACTAGACTACTACACTCTCTGATTAACAAACTTTTTGCTGCATCCACATACTTATATTAGGAAAGTGGGCAATATTTGTGTATAATGATCCCACCAATTCTCCATCTCTGAGGTTCCCTTTATAAAATGTAAATGCTTCAGAGAAAGATGAGTCTAGGGAACTTGTGTTCCCCTCAAAATCAAATAGCAAATGTAAAAACCTATCTCCTAGCATCCACAAAAGTCCTTCACCCGATAGGAAAAATACTTTCAATTCATGAATTGAAATGAATGAATATCCCGTAAGACACAACTGCTTAAAAATAAGAAGAGATGATTTAACGTTTTAAAATATTTATACATATAATAATTATATAGTACTTATATATAATATTAAAATGTATATCATATGTATATATGCAGAATGAATTAATATGCTTGAAAAGGGGACAATGAAGAATAATCTATTAGTTTTTTAGAACTAATGCAGAAGTAATGGAAGGATTTCTATTGGATAAATTTTAGATTATCTCAAGCTATTTGCCATTTCTAAAGATAACAACATAGTTATAGAGCCACATATATAATTATTCAAAGCTCTGTGTCTAGCAGGATATTTCAGGAATATCATTATTATTATTATTTAAGTACAAGTCCCTTCCCTAGGGCTTGAGATGTGTGGCAAGAGGCTTAGACTCCATGCAAATTTCTCACCTTGTATGAGGCAAAGAGTCAGGGTCAGAAGCATTGGCACCATAACTATCTTCATGACGAAGATGATGTAAGTCGATTACAAGTCTGCTCCGTGGATTGTTCAGCTGGTGCTCTAAGACTGAACCCGTGGAGATGCAGCTCACTTTTATATGAGTAAGCTTGGTTTACACCCACATCACAAGCCAAAATTATAAAACCAGTTGTACAAGGTCGTGCTATGTCATATTAGTGTATGTTCCATCCTTTAAGGAACCTGTCAAGGTAGCAGATTTGAACAGATAATGTCTATTTCTAAAGCAGCAGTGTGTTTTCATATTTCTCCCAAAAGGCAATAGGTTGGCTCCAAGGTCCCTTCTCAAAGTTGAATATCCCATAGTCCTATATAAGGACTGAATTCCTCAGCAACGCCAGACATACTACTTCATAGCCAAACGTGTTTCTAACTGGGCTCCTTCATAATTGGAAAGGAAAGGGGAAAAGAGGACAGACTGGTTGCCCTATCAGTCAGGTAAAGATTTAAAGATTTCCACATCTGGGGGAAGCTTCTTACAGTGAGAGAACCTAGGATTCCTGCTGCTTCCATTTGCTATTTTGTAGTGTCTGAAGTGTCACAGACTTATACATAAATTAGAGTTGGACGACCTTAGGGATAGCCTAGCAAAATTTTTACAATGAGTACATGAAAGAAATAGAAACTCAGAGAAGAAGCAGTAGCTTTCCCAGAAGCACAGAGTTTAGATGGAAAGGGCAGAGCTGGCATGTGACAGCAGACCAGAAGTTCAGCATTCTTTCTCCTCCATATATTGCTTCACTGTCACACATTAGTAAAGGTAGAAACATTGTGGAATCAAAGCTTGTATGTAATAAAATATTTTTTTGATTCTCAATCTGAATAATATTTTATATTCAAAAACCTATTTTAAATTCTAACCAAAACATTGTAATGCTAAAAAAGATTACAGACTCAAGGGATAACTTTCCACAGCCCATCGGTCCTGAAAGTACTGTTTGAAAAAGTTGGCTCAGTTTTCCACTAAGTTAAGTGTACTCTTGTATTACCTCCTTATTTACTCCCCTAAGAAGAAAATAATAAATAAAATATTTAACAAACTATAAATATAGAAATTTAATTTTTTTCTAGAGAAAGTGTCTTCTCCTTAATCCATTCTTCCATTCTTCTAGTAATGCCTTTGTCTACCAGTTTATTTTACTCTACTTAAGAAAGCAGCTGAAGAATCAGGTAAAGATGATTGAAGCCAGAGCCAGAAGATTTGGTTCCAATACTTCTCAAGATCTCCACACCCATAGAAGGAAAATTGGGGGCTGCATGGGATAAAAGGTCTTTGAAGTTTGTGCCAGAAAACTGATCAAGGCAGGCCAACTTTGGGATTTTCAATATTCTGAAAAGCATCAAAGCCAGAGTATTTCCTTTCCTTTTTTTCCCAAGAAATAATTTATTTCTTATAAAAATATAATCACTGGTTTCAAGATCTGCCTTATATAACAAGGTGATTAACTGTGTTACTTTCCCACGGTTCTGTAAAATTAGTGACCATGGAGAGTTGATTCAAATTGCATTACTATTACTGGTTAGAAAATTGAAGTCCATCATAGCTTACCAGAAAGAGTATACGACTGGGAGTCAGGAAGTCTTTTTAACTACTCCATGTAATGGAAATGAAACTTGTTTCAAAGCTAGGTCCAAATCTTTACTCATCAATTACTAGCTGCATTGCCTGTGGCAGGTCACATATTTTTGCTATGTGACATAGTTATTGACAAGTTGCAAAGACGAGATCGTTATCAAAATGGGCATCAGGCGAGAGTCCGCGGTGCCCTACCTTTGGTGCCAGTGTCCTCTCCACCTTACCCCCTTTCTCCTTGTCTCTCTCTGCCCTGGAATACTCCGGGCTCACATCTCGGGATGTGTATGTCGATGGGCCCCCTTTCCCCAGCACGCCTCCCCACCACCATGGAGCCCGCGAGGTTGAGGGTGGTGGTGGTGGTCAGCTGTTGCCCATCGCCCACCGCCGCCACTGCATCCCACCACCCACCGCCTCCCACCACTCACCCTGGGCGGGGACCCGGCTCATCCTCTGTCCACCCTGGCCCTGCAATCCTAGTTCCCTACCCTCTCCCCCCATTCCTGGCACCTTCTTGCTCTCACCAGGCCTCCCCCCACCGCCCTCAATCTCGTGTAGTCCCACCATCGCCCGCCACCCTCTATGGCTGGACCGAGATGTCACAAATGAGAAACCGTCTCGTTGGTGGTTGGCTGCTGTTGCTCGCATGGTACAGTCATCACCGGGGCTTTCTATATATTGTTTGGGCTGGCTTGCAGAAGGCACCCTGGCCTCAGCCTCTGGCCAGTGTGGATAACGAGATAGTCGATAAATGAGTAGATATAGGTATATGTATGTATGTAACCCATTGCCATCTATTGGCTTCCAAATCATAGCGACACTGGAGGACAAAGTAGAACTGTCCCCATAGGGTTTCCAGGGAGAAGCTGGCGGATTCTAACTGCTGACCTTTTGGTTAATAGACTGAGCTCTTGACATCTGAGCCACCAGGGTTCCATATATATGTGTGTATGTGTGTGTGTGTGTGTGTGTGTGTGTATACCAAACAATCAAAAAACCATTGTTATCAAGTAGATTCCAACTCATAGCAACCCTATAGGACAGAGTAGAACTGCCCCATAGGGTTTCCAAGGAGCGGTTGGTTGATTCTAACCGCCTACCTTTTGATTAGCCCTGGAGCTCTTAACTAATGTGACACCACCGCTCCATATGTAGATATAGATATAGATATAGCCTAGAATAATTCAAGGTATATGTGATAAGTTTTATAGTTAATGATATCTTGTCTCCACTTTTATATCATTAGAATGATGTGGTTGTACTAATTTTTTAAGATTCCAGGAAAAGTCAACATCTCTTGAACTTGGATCACAGATTTAAGTTTACTCAGCATAGAATAACTGCCACAACACATTCTGAAATGAAGTGAAAAAGTAAAGATATCTGTTCTCTTTTTTACTTTGTAATTGTATTCTAAACCACAATGTTTAAAACAAATCAAAGCATTAGCTGTTTAAAATTTGACAAAATCATTGCTAGGGTTCAATCATCATTGATTTCTTGGTTTGTTTCTGTAAAAGCCTTTTCTAAATATTAACATCTCAGTACTAATTTTTTTAATTTTTCATCAGCCCTGTCAGACCATATGAATGTATCTCAGCTGTACACTTTGTTACTGGTGGTAGGAAAGTTTAATGCCTTACAATAGAATAGGTGACTGTATAATATGCTCTGATGACCCCAAATCTAGCCCAAATGGATAATATTCCTAGAATAAGAAGTGGTGCTAGAGCGGGGCAAAAGAAGAAAAGATGTTGCCTCTTTAAAGAATCTCTTCTGAGGAAAGACTGATGGAGGTTATTTCCTTCTGACTGGAAAAGAGCTCCTTACTGACACCCAGAGCCTTCTAAAGTGATGAATAAGAGGTTTGGAACTGATAACCTCTTCCAAAAGGAGAAGAGAATCAATAGAAGATTCAGTGAGCACCTTTAATATTGGAAATGCCAATCAACTGGGTCATATCATCGGAACTTTTTCTCCATTTCATTTCAGGAATGTTGTAAATCCAAAAGTGATTCATCTCTGTTGATCATTCCTTGTTTCTAAAAACCACATAATTTAAATTGAAATGAATAGGATTGAGGTTTTGGAGAACTGGGGTTTGGGTTTGGGTTAGAATCAGGTTAGAAGATTGCTTTTCTCAAATCCCAAATTCCGTCTTTGTTTCGGCTCTTTCAATTACTCATCAGCCTTGTAGAACCCTCTTTCCTCTCATTAAAATGGGGTGGGGCTTGGAAATAAAAAGTATAAACTTTATAATACTACACATATATCAAATGGCCACGAAGGGCACTGACAACGAAGGAAGAGATGAGAAATTTTTCAAGTAAATAAGATTTTTGTAGACCTATAATGTTACTGAGAATGAGCCCTGGTGGTGCAAGCAGTTAAGCATTCAGCTGCTAACCAAAAGGTCAAACCTACCCAGCAACTCCACGGGAGAAAGACCTGGTGATCTTCTGTAAATATTACAGCCAAGAAAACCTTCTGGGGCAGTTCTACTCTGTCACATGGGGTTGCTATCTGTCAAGAACAACTCCACAGCACCTAACAACAACATTACTGAAGAGTAAGAGTATTTCTGAAATCTAAAGTTATCAGATCATTGTTCAAATCGTCCCTTGTTCTATGCAAAGAGATCCTTGGATATGATAATAATTTAATAAATAACTATAAAACCAAAAAAAAAAAAAAACCTTTTGCCGTGGAGTCTATTCCGACTCATAGTGATCCTATACGATAGAGTACAATTGCCCCATAGGGTTTCCAAGGAGAGGCTGGTAGATTCAAACTGCTGACTTTTAGTTAACAGCCCAGTTCTTCACCACTGCACCACCAAGGCTCCAGCAACCCTGTACCAAAAAACCAAACCCATTGTCATCGAGTCGATTCCAACTCAGAGCAACCCTATAGTCCCTGATAGTTAAGTCATCTTCTACAACTTTCAAAACAGTCTGCCATTCATTAGCTGTCTTGATTTGTTTATGCAATGCTGTGTTAAGATCTCAGCTGTTAACCAAAAGGTCGGCAGTTCGAATCCACCAGCCACTCCTTGGAAGCGCTATGGGACAGTTTTACTCTGTCCTATAGGGTCACTATGAGTCAGAATCGACACAACAGTAATGGGTTTTTTGGGTTTTTTGGTGAAGTGGCAAAGACAAATCTACTATTAGAAAGGATTATAATTTCTCTCATACTGCATATGTGGAAACTGAGGTTATCAGAGAAACAAAAGCTTGCCTAAAATCACAAGACTGATAAAGAGCAGAACAGTTATCAAAATTCATATTTACATTCCATTATTCTGGAATCAAGTGTCTCTTCATGCAAATGTGGTTCGTTCCCTTAGTCCTCTGCTCACACTCATTTTCTCTCTCTCTTTCCTTCTCTCTGTCTCTCTCATGCACACACA